GAGTATCAACTCATATAGCACATGTGCACAATATACATAGAAGTAGCATACTACTTAGTGATAATATATCTGTGTTTATAAGACCTGTGATACGGGGACTACTTGATTATTAAAGACCGCCTACACAGTCTTTCCTCTTAAAAGTATGCATATCGTTATAAGTGCGCCATTTCGTCATCTCGAACGCTTTCTTAAATCCCTCAAATGCGAAGCATTCCATTTAAAAAGGTAAGACTTCGTAATGCACCGAATGATGCTCAAAATAGCCATTTCAGTTCAAAACCCCATACAATTGGAATACCCCTTTAAGCCCTTCCATGCTCTTCTAAACCCCTGCCTGCTACACCTGAGCTAAAAAGGAAACACTGGGCCAATAAAATGTAGCTAATATCTGACTGTGGTGCAGAAGTCCTTAACGCATCACAGTCTATACCATGATTTTAATCTTATCATAATCAATGTCAGATTGTTTCAGATGAGAAGCCATTTTCAGCGTCAAAAAAGTTTTGGAACTGGCCAAATATTTGTTTTTTAAGTTTAATTTTGATATCGTGGACTCAAATCAAAGGGGTCGAAGTCCAGGGAATATCAGCATTTCAGAGCAGGTCAGGTCAACCTAACTGGCTCAACCTCTCTCCCCAACTCACTCAAGAAAGTTCTACCCCTGCGTCCTTCTTGATGCGGTTTGCAACATGTGAAACACATTTCATAAAACCTTGAGCCTGCGTGCTCGCAGTCGTAGAAGCAGATCACATATGATAGATATTAATAAAAGATATTAATATTAATAAAACAAGATATTAATCAGATATTAATAAGATCACACAAGATATTGATAAAACTAGCAAATAAAAAAAATTCATAAAATACTTTGAGCCTGCGTGCTCGCAGTCTTAGAAGCAAGATCACAGATGACTGCGGTTGCAGTCTCCACCCAACCGAGCGGCGTCGCGGCCAACACCGTGTGGCGGACGCCTGACGCGTGGGGAACAGCCGTCGTGAAATCACGCCGTCGAAAAGTTTTTCCCAAACGAGTTCATACCGTCCAAAAATTGGATTTAGATGTGAATTTGACAAGTAAAATGCTATGAATGTCGTTGAAAATGATAAAAAGCGTCCGGAACAGGTAAGGGGAGTGATTTTATCATTACTTGACTAGTTTCACCGCCAAATTGCGTCACCGGTGATATGTGATATGATTCGCCTGGTGATGTGTGATATGATTCACAGTGATAATGAGTGTTAGGCGGAAGCAAATTCGGAAGCTTGAAACTGCCGAAAGCATTGTGACAAAAGCCATAAACTGGAGATTCTCCGTTTAAAACCAAGGCACAGAATGAACGCCCTTCTGTCATATATTCCTTATCTGAGCCCTGCTCCCGTCCGCCGTCGGCAGGCCACTGCCCAGGCTCGGCTGTCTTACGCATGACTATTGCGAACTGATCGTATGGCTGCTTTGTTGCATATTTCTGGGTCAGCATTGCTACTTATGGTGTGTAAAACGTTTTGGACACCTAAAATAGTATATTTCCTGAATTA